AAGAGCTTAAACAGCTCATGCGTGAAAGAGATACGGCTATCCGTACATGACAACATTCTCGATCCGTCGATGATAGATATGCATACCGGAGATTGCGGAACCTTGTGAAAGGGCATCTATCAAAAAGTAAACGTGACTTTTTGTCAGCTCACATGTTATCAGATTGACGCTCTATTTGGCACAAAATATCTGAATTTACGGTGCGTCCTGCGTGTGGGGGAAAAATAGGCAGCTTTGGGATGCCGACAGAACAGGCAGATGAGTTCAATCGTCATTTCGCCACAGTCTGATCGAAAATTGCTGCGGAGCTGGCCGTCAGCGGTCCATGTCGGCTCCCGCCAAGGTCGCCGCGTGTGACGTCAGCGGGTATGCGCCTGAAGCCGGCTACACTGTCAGAACTGTCTTTCGGGTTACGAAAGTTGTCAGCATCTAGAGCAGTGGGGCATGACGGTATGCCACTACACGCAATCAGAGCATGTTTTCCTGTGATTGGTCCACACTTACTGCATATTGTGAATGCACCCATAATACCATGTCATTTTCCATTATCATGGGAGCTCGCGACCGTGGTACCACTTCATAAGTCCGGCGACATAGATAATCCGAGCAATTTCCGGCCCATCTCTCCCCTGTCGGTGCTCTCGAAGTTATGCAAAAAGCTGTTTGTATGCAGCTGTTATCTTATCACGCTACTAATCACCTGCTGGTCAACTCGCAATATGCATATTGTTGCGGATTGAGGCGCGACATTGGGGCAGCCAGCGAGTTGATCGTGCTGCCATCTTCTAGGCTAGGCGTGTATCTGCCGCTAGGTGTATATCAGTCAAATGAAACTCCAATCAGGCAAATCTCTGAAGGAAAAGGGTTGGCCATGGGTACAACAGTGTATCCGTGGGATCCTTGGTGGGAAGGAAAAAGTCGACAAAGCCACCTTCTTGAATGACGGGCGACTCTTGATAAAAACTAGAGATAAGACCCAAACTGACAAACTGTCACGAGTGAGTATGTTTGGTGAGGAGGCAAGCGTGGTGGACAAAGATGAAAGGCTCAACCAAAGCAGAGGAACCATCAATACCACTGATCTAATGGACCTCTCCGAGGATGAGATTGTGGGGTGGCTCGCTGACTGGTGTGGTTGCTGCTAGGCGGTTCACCAGGAAAGTGGGTAACCGTACTGAACGAACCCCAATCATACTGCTCACGTTCAACAAACCCACCTGTTCGTCAAGGTTGGAGTTTGGTTAGGTACATAGTGTCGTGCAACAAACCCACCTGTTCGTCAAGGTTGGAGTTTGGTTAGGTACATAGTGTATCAGTTGTGACATGTACTTCGCCCAAAATGGAGCAATAAAAGAGCAAGCGAGGCACAGGAGTATCTCATCATTTGAAGAAAAGCGATTCCCAGAAAAAGACCTCTCCTCCATAAAGTGTGTGATTCAGATGCAATTTTCACAAGATGTATTGAAAAAGTATCACAATCGTACTCTAACACCCATGACTAAGCAACAAATGCGAAACGTTGGGTAATTTCTGAAGAGGAACTTCACTCTCCGCACCGACCACTCCGCTCTCACCACGCTGCTCTCTCCCAAGTTCTCAGGTAGAGCGGGAGCGCGCGTCGCGCGCTGGCAGGCGCGGCTTCTCCCGTATGCCTACGACGTGGTGTACGTCCCGGGGCACCGCATCCCAGCGGCCGACGCGCTGTCCCGACTTCCCCTGCCGGACACCGGACCAGCAGAGGATGATGAAGTCATCGCCCTGGTGACCGACGATGCAGCCGACGTGATCTCCGAAGATGACGTCAGAGAAGCGTCCCTGTTGGACGACACGCTGGAGCGGCTGCGGTCCGTCATCGCTGCCGGCTGGCCGGACTCGGCACGGAACTGCCCGCCCGACGTGCGGCCGTTCTTCCACGTCCGACACGAACTACAAGGTAGCGTGCGCCGTGACGCCGTGGTCCTCCGTGGAGCGGACAGAGTGGTCGTGCCGGCCGCACTGACCGACCGGTACCTGCAGCTGGCTCACCGCGCGCACGACGGCATCGTCAGGATGAAACAACTTCTCCGAAGTCTGTGCTGGTGGCCTGGAGTCGACCGTGCCGTGACAGAGGTCGTCAAGGCGTGCAACCTGTGCCAGCAGAGTGACAAAGTGCTGTCGCAGAAGGTTCGACCTGCGCCGCTGCAGCCAGTCCCGCTTCCCACAAGGCCGTGGTCGAAGCTGGGTGTAGATATCGTGGGACCTATCGCTGGAGTTCCCCAGTCTGCACCCTATGCAGTCACCCACACTGATTACTACAGCAAGTGGGTGCAAGTGGGACTCTGAGCGAAAGTCGAGACCAGCGACATCATCAGGATTCTGTCTGTGATCTGGGCCCGCGAAGGATATCCTGAGGAGATCGCAACGGACAACGGGCCCCAGTTCATCAGCCGCGACTTCGAGACTTATCTACAGCAGAGGAAGATCAGGCACCTGAAGTTGTCTGTGTACTGGCCGAGGGGCAACGCCGCTGTGGAACGATTCAACCGATCGTTCAAGTCCTGGGTCCAGGCGGCCGCGCAGCAGAGCCAAGTTCCGTTCCGTTCCGACCCGATGTGTCTCACGTTGGGAACAGCAAGGCACGAGGGTGAGTGCTCTAAAAAAAATGCATCCACTGTGGAGACACAGAATACGACGGTCTTTCAAGACAGTGCCCAACACGGCAAAAGGAAAACACATTTGTGAGATTAAGGTGACAAAAAGAGAAATGGTGCGAGGAAGCGATGAACATCAGTGAAGTCAAGATCCCCCGATCCATAGGCACACTTCAGGAAGACTCCAAGTTCCACGTCTTCTGTGATGCCTTCAGTCAGCCGTACTGCGCCGTGGTGTACGCAGTCAACGATAGAGAGTCACGACTAGTCATTGCCAAGGCACAACTCGCACCACTTCGACTCAGCACCACGATGCCAAGGCTGGAACTGATGGCTGCTCTCATCAGGGTCAGACTGATGTGTTTCATCAAGGAAACACTGAAGTTCGCAGGCGAAGTTTACTACTGGACGGACTCGAGGGACGTCCTCTATTGGATCAAAGGAAAGAAACCCCTGAAGACCTTCGTACAAAAGAGTCTCTGCTATCTTACAAGACTCTCGACCAGAGCAGTGGAGACACGTGGAGACGTCCCAAAACCCAGCCGACCTGGGGAAAGAGGTGTTTTCCTCAAGAGCCTAGTGGGAAGTTCGGACCTGGAGGACGCCATCCGCGCAGTTTTGACAACGGTGCGGGCGGTGTCGACGCCCGTGCTGCTGGGAGCGTTGCCGCGCTTCTTCATGGATCGGCTGCTGCCCTGGGAGCACACGGCCGCTTACCTCCTGGACCGGAAGGTGTGCGAGGCGGCCGAGGCGGATGAGTTCATCTCGCTGGAGAAGAGCCTAACGAAGAAGCTAAAGAATGTTCTAGTGGACTACTGTGCCCGCTGGTTTGGGGATGATGAGCTTCACCTATCGCCAGCGGGTTACGCCAAAGTGTCACTGGTGGAGAAGCTTCCCCAGTGGTTCTGGATGGACTAAGGGCGACGTGATGTTGCCGGATGTGTCGTGTCAGTGACAGTGTCGATGTCATCCCAGCCAGCCATCCCAAATGGGGCCCACATGGGCTGGAAGTGGGGAATCTGGGCGAATGTGGGCTGGGCCACATCTGGGTATGTCATGGGCGTCCAACTGGGTCTCAGATGGGCTAGATGTGCTAACTTTACGTGCTGGACTTGGCCAGCGCCTCCACTGTGCCGCTACCCTGCCCATAGACCCGGGAACAGGGGGGGGGGGCAGCGGGGGCGCTTGCCCCCCCCCCCCAACTTGAGAGCCGAGGGGGCGGCGCCCCCTCAACATTGAGGCAGCGAGAAAGGATCTTTCCTCCCTTTTCCGTACTTCTTTCCTTCTTGTTTCCTTTATACTGTCCAAGGATGGTTAACATTCAAGGTCCAACTAAACCATTTGTATGGTTTAGTGACGTCATTTCTGATACTGCCAACTGCCAAGTGATTGGACAGCGACTCAGGCGAGGGCAATGGGAGGTTCCGCGACAGCGAGACGGCCCAGCCGCGAAGGAAACGGCGGCGTTTCGGTAGCGATAGCCCCGTCAGACATCACTTGAGTGCGCCATCATCTGACTAGGGGAGCTCGGAGGACGATGAGGACAGGGTAGACCGCCGGCGCGAGCACCAGCTAGCACCGCTGCGATCAGCAGCTGTCGCGGCGCGGACCGACCTCAGACTTCCAGCGGTGCCAGCAAAAGTGGAAAGACGACTTCAAAACTGAAGGAATTATATCCCGGTTGCAGATATCATCGATGAAGGGGAGCGTGGGCCCGAAACGGTAATCGAATACATCAGTAAAGTCGCCAACCTGCTGACACACACCACCTACCACTTCCCCCAGAGCGGTCTACAGGTGGCCAGCTACCTGGCGTGGCTGCTGGGGCTGAGCACCGACCGCACACTGCGGGAAATCCAAACGGCGGACAGTAGGGCTCGGCAGGCCATGGCTCTGCGGCCCAGGGATTTTCTGACTGCCACAGACCTTGATCAGTTCGTGCCACGGGGAGGAGCCGGCCCAGATGCCGGGCGCCCAGGGGGTGGGGCGGGCCGGCAGGTGTGCGTAAATTATGTTCGTTTCAACCGGTGCCCTACACCCTGCCGGGCAGGGCGCCTGCACCTCGCGTGTCGCGTGTGCTCCTCACTGCATCACGCCACAAACTTAAACGGCGTCCCCGCCGGCCGCCCCGCCTACAACAGCATGCCACAGTACGGCAGCACCCCGGCGACCCCTGGCCCCTTCAGGGCCATCGGGGGTGGTGAGCGCAACACGGGAATAAACATAGCCAAGCTTGAACTTTTGCTCCAGGAATGCTACCAGGTCCCAAATCATGTAAAATCAGAGGTCTTAAAACGGTTCCAATACGGTGCCGACATCGGATATCGCGGCACCATCAACAACGGGTTCACAAAAAAAAAACAGATCTGCCGTTTTACGACCAGACAAGGTCACACAGGCCATTGAGAAAGAAGTGAAGGCAAGCTACACTAGAGGTCCTTACAGAGTGCCCCCCTTTCTAAATTTCATTGTGAACGCCCTAAGCGCCCGTGACGCAAGCTGTTCGTCATGGGCTGTGTGTGCCACTCCCTGGCGCTGTGTACCGGGCACGCCGCCCGCCGCCTCCCCAACTGGCTAGAGGTCCTAATCAAGGACATAGCTAATTACTTGTCGCGAAGCCCGAAGCGGCGAGATGCCTTGGCTCTGATCCAGGAGGCTGTGGATGCGCCGTGCTACCAAAGCCCGAAGGTTGCGATGACGAGATGGCTGTCCCGCGGCGCCTGTGATCGCACACATTCTGGAGCCGTGGGACGCGCTGGAGCTGCTCTTCAGGTCAGAGGCCGTCACAGTCGAAGGGAAGGAGAACAGGGCGGCAGACATCTCATATCGACTGCAAGAGCGAGGCACCAAACACATTCCGCTGTTCGTGCAGTTCATCATCAAGAAGGTTGATGATCTAAACGTGCTGTTCCAGTTGGAAGACTATCAGCTCCATCGACTATACCGCAAGATGTCAGAAGGATACCGGGGGCTGCTGTCGCTTTACGTGCAGCCTGAGGTGCTGAACTCAGTTCCGCTGCACAAGGTGGAGCCTGAAGTCGCTGCCACATGCAAGCCAATTTTTGTGAGTTGATTTATTGTGTACCGTGCTTGCGTTGGTGTATGCCGATGGCATTGTTGCAGTGCATGTTGTACCCCAAGATTGGTAAACCAACTTTCACGCTAGGTCTTCTTGTTTAATGGGCTTACAATACGAGCAATATGCAGTGTTTTCTCATTTGAAGGCCATTTGCGGAACAAATCTTGGCTAGGTGTACATTGTACAGTTAAACCTAGCAGTGATTATTGATTACCTACCTAAATCACCTACTGTTGTGATGCATATATGCTGAAATGATGAATGTTTGCACTGCTCAGTGCTCTCCTGAAGGCTGTAAACTCAAAGAAAACTAGGACAGAGCGAATCACGATAAAATATTTCTAAGCAGGACATACGTAAATGTCCGCATATGCAGTTCATCAGTCGATCTCAAAGAACATGAGGACATAAGCTATTGAGGACATCGAGGACTACGTCAAGGCGACGGAATCCTCAGCAACCCAGGACCTTCCAAAGATCTCCGCCACAAGCATGACACAAGTGGGGGACGGCTTCAGCCGTCAGCGCCTGAATGCGCTCACCAGATATGGACACAGGCCCAACTAGGCAGACCTCCGCGTGGTCCAAGTTCACCGGGATAAGAAGATCGGCAATTACCTTTTCCGTATTATTACGAACATCCGTTCGAAAATAAGACCGGGGGCATGCTCTGCCCCCCCCCCCCCCCGCCTAAGCCGGGCGTGCTCGACTGAATATTCCAGAGGTCGGTTGGGGCTCGTTATTTAACAAGCATTACTTTGGAGCAGTCATCAAAACCTGTGGCAACATAAATTTGAAAATCTGTCCAGTTGTTTCGCAAATCAGATAAAGGGAGGAGAATATAAATGATTTCGGAAAATCACATTACGGTATTACGAATGTTAAGACCACATTTCTACGCAACAGCTACTGATCCCCATTTCATGCCGCACAATGTAGCAGGCTAATTCGCACCAATTATTCAACCTATCACATTTGTACGGACCCCTAATTAATGGAGACGCTGACAATATCACAGATTATGGAAAGCGTCCTACTCTGCGAAGACGGGCGGTGTGGCGCGTCAGTCGTCGCCGGGACCGCTCAGTCGGTATATTTGCTCCGTGCTGGCTGGGTACCACGAGATCGGACACCGGCCCTTCTCGCTGACGTGCCGGAAGATGCACGGGTGGCAGAACACGTACCTGAAAAAGCCCGACACAGTGGGCGGTCAGCCCGGTCGTGACGGCGCGACGTGAATCACACAGGAAAGTCACACTGAATGTGATAGACCGGTCAGAAGTGAAAACTGGGAAAAGGACAGAGGTCAATGCTTTCACGGTGTCAACTTAACGTCCAGCATGCACGCACTTTTCGAGGTGCGTAATGCTGTCGGGTATGAATTGGCAAGGTTACAACCAGAAATTCTTTGCATTTTCTATAATAATGAGAAAAAAATTAGAAGTACAAATCGGTTCGGATTGAGGGGATTTTTTTCGTGAGTTTGGTGTTGGCCGAGTGGACTGCACTGGCTGGATAGTGTCGGTCGACACTGCCGGACAGTCGATCACGTACCCGGACACGGCGAGCACTGCCTCGTTGGTGCGTGTCCTGCCGCAGAGCGGACAACGTCCGTCGGCCTCCGGTTCGCCCTGGAACGCCGGCCGGGACAGTCTCAGAGCGGGGTAAAGTGTACGAGACATGGACAGCAGGCGAGGGTCACCGTAACATTCAAGACAGCGCAACACGGTCACCGAACTTGCACGTCACAGCACTGGCAATGTAAGATGAGATAGCACAAAACCAGGAACCACAGACAGTCAGACACCTAACATAATTTATCAAAATACGTCTGGATGAAGTTAAAAAACGGACACTGCAACGGGGACGCACTGAAACCACAGCCAAGCAGCCCCACTTTTTTGTTAGGCAGTAGTACAAGCAGCGTTGTAGGTGGAAAGGTCGCGAGCTGCCAGCTAGGACCATTTGAAGCGAGCCTCTTTTACGGTTATAATTAAAAAAAAGGACGGCTCGACGGAAAATTGGTATTATTAAATTGCTTTTGAATGAAGAATGTTCTATTGCCCTTCCACTACAAACAAGTCACTACAGCAGTCATTTTCGGCGACCGCTGACGATCCAGCTGCGGTGCGCGGCGCGGTGGGGGACTGACCTGCGCCAGCGGGCGGCGGTCGGGCGGTGCGACGTCGGCGGCGCCCAGCCGGCGTCCATCACGGTCCCCGGCGCCGCTCCACCACTGCAGAAACTGCACCAGGAACGAGCCCACCTGCAGCGCGTGGCTGGCCAGCCGCGTGGTGGCGTGCAGTCCGTACAGGGTCAGCGCCGCCGGCAGGCCGCGAGATCTGCCGGCGCAGCGGGGTCAGAGGGGATTACTCCCCATACCCCATCAGAGAGCACCCCGTCAGGCAGGAGTAGGTACATCCCACCCACACACCGTCAAATGCACCCCGTCAGACGGGATTACACCTCACACCACGTCAGAAGGACTTCAGCCCGCCACCCTGATACCCGGGACGGTCAGACACTTTTACATCCGGGATGGCCCTTTATACGGCTCCGGGCCACCGGCAATACAGGAATACATCCCACCCCACCAGACACCTCCATTTACACTCTTATTTCCCAGACGGGACTAGGTATCCCTCCAATCCGTCTCCCAGATGGGACAACAATCCCATTCCATTGCATGAGAACGGATTATGCACCCAGTCAGCCGGGGTAGCCTGACACCACCACGCCGCACACCAGATGCAGAATGCAGCCCAATCGGTCGCGCCGTGACACCCCTCCCGGCGGTGAGTGCGCGGCTGTTGGCTCACCTGAGGCGAGTCCAGGAGGAGAGTTTGTCGTCCCGTTCTCGAGCCAGCCGCCAGTCGTCGGCCGTCACCGTCTCCAGGCGCACACCAGACAGCCAGCTCAGCGGCGAGTGGTAGCCGCATTTGTCTGCCCAAAACCAACAAGGTTGTTACTGATATACTGGCCTAAATCCAAGAAACATATGAGCTGATGAGACATGTGAAATGTGAATTTAAGGGTACGTCTTGGCTAATGAATGCAAATTATTAAAGGGACTATCCCACCTTCTAAAAAGTACCGTTTAGGATTCGTAAATGTTACTCATGATATAGTGACGAATTCTGCAAGTTTTTACGCGTTTTCATCTTATACTTTTTGAGATATTGCGACTTTTATATTTCATTGTGACGTCATTTAGATCGGATCTGTGGCGTAATGAAGGATTTCCTTCATGCCAATGTGGAGGGAAATTTAGCAGCAAATATACTTCCTCTCAAATATGACGCGGCTTATACAATAGCAAAAGTATCTCTGATTGGCTTATTCGTAAATCAAGTGATACTTCACTTGCTTGCGTGACAGGCGTTCAAAAGGCAAATGACGTCATCAGATTGCCGTTAATGGTTAAGAGATTGGGACTTGTACAGGGAACATTTTCAAATGAAGGGAACGAATTTCTTCAACACCACGAGGATGCGGGGGTTGCGACCAAGATAGATAGTGGTTTCTGAACCTCGCCGCAAATCTCAACTCAAACCTAATGTAAAGGTGGGATAGTCCCTTTAAAGATGCTATAGACACGATCAAGGTTTCATGCTGTGAATTCTTATCTCATCTCCAAAAGTGGCAAAATGTCGTGGTCGTCTCAGCCTTACCGAACATGTAAGCCAAGTAGCAGAAGGCGACCGCCGTCGAGAACGTCGCGTGCACCGGAGGATACAGTCGCAGCACCAGCTGGTGCACCCGCCGCCGCCACTCCTGGTGAGACATCGGCACAACCAGTCATACAGTCACAGCGCACCCCAGTCTCCAGCGTTTCCGTCAATACGACTGTGGGAGCCACCACAGAGACAGCACGCTCAATAACAGGGTTATCCTCAGCCATGTTACGCGGAGATATGTAGCCCGAACTTAAAGGTAGTGTGCCACCTTCCAATGATTTCCCATTTTATTTTTCCTAGGATAAGAAGCTTCTGTTTTTACCTAATATCGCAAAAAATCAAAAAATGGGCCTAAAATAGTGCTTTTTTCGCCTAAAAGTTTATCGGTTTTTCTATATGTATAACAACTGTAGTGGGCTGACCTGCAAACAGGCGTCGGCAACAATCGCGAATGCGGCGCACATGTGACAATAAGCAAAGGTCATTATAGAGTTACGACGTACGGGAATGAGTTATTAGCTGTCTAATCGTAGACAACACAATGTCGAATTTAAACTGTAAGCCTGTATTGGTATTGTTTCTTTAATTTGGCTGTCGAACAATAATTTATGGTTTGAAATATTATTTTATGTAAAATAATTGATATGAAACAGCCGTCGCTAACATGGGTGTCGATTTGTATACCTTTGGGGGTGCTGCAGCACCCCCAATGCTCAAATGAGCACCCCCAATGGTTTTCCGGGCACCCCCAAATGTTCCAGTTTAGCATCCCCAATGATTTGGTCCCTCAAAAACTCCCACTAACTCTGCTTGAGGAAAATAATTGGTTCCGCAGTCTTTCACTACTAAAAATAAAACAATTACGCAATCTACAATGCATGAAGTAAAGATGTAAAGAAAGTAAAAGTTAGTCTTAAGAAGAAGGGCGTAAAAAGACGTTAAGTTGCAAAGACACTGGTGTGGGTCCGTCGTAGACGGGTGTCGGACCCTTAGAGCTGATGGCGTGTACCCTTTACAAGCCGGCAGGGGGCTCCAGAGACCGGCGACGGGCCCTCAGAGGCCGGCAAAGTGCCATCAGAGGCCGGTGGTACCTTCAGAAACCCTGTGGGGTCGTCTCTAACGGGCTCAGATGCCGATGGGGCCCTCAGAGTCGCCGGTGTGGGGCCTTCAAATGTCACCGGTGGGTGGCCATCACATGTGCACTTGTGGGGCCTTCAGAAACGACGATGTTGGGCCCTCAAAGCCGCCGATATAGGGCCTTAAGAGGCACTAGTGTGGGGCCCTCAGATATGGCAATGTATGGCCCTCACATCGCCGTTGTGGGGGCTCTCCGAGACACTGGTTTAGGGCCATCACAGGCGCGCGTGATGCCCTCAGAACTGCTGTTACGGAACGGACCCTTCATAGGCCGACAAGAAGATATCAAGAGGTCACCGGTGCCATCAGGAGCCTTGTGGGGTTCTCAGAGACCGGCATGGCGCTCTCAGACGCCGCTGGGACCCTCCGAGTCACCTGTGTGGGACCGTCAGGGTCGCTGATAACTGACAAGGGCCCTCAGAACCGCCCATGTGGGGTTTTTAAATGCATTGGTGTGGGGCCTCAGAGTTAGGGGTGTGGGGCCCTCAGAGACGCCGGTGTGGCGCTCAGAGGCGCCGGTGAGGGCCCTCACAGTCGCCGTTATAGGGGCCCTCAGAGAAATAGGTGTGGGGCTATTACAGGCGGGTGTGGAGCTCCCAGAGAGCTCCCAGAGCCCCCTAACCCAGCCAGCAATTTGGTTCGGCGCAAGTCCGTTTTGCCCCGGCAACTCCGACATGCCAGACTCGGGCCGGTATAAAAGGAACGCCGTCAGAGCCGGGGTTTGGGTCAATACGGCTCTATTCCGGTTAGCCAGTCTTGGCCGTAGCGCTCCCGGGTTGGTATGGTTCCGGACCGCCAAGTCTGGCTCAAGTCCGGCTCCCTGCCACGGCTCAAGTCCGGCTCTCTTACGACCAGTCCGGCTGCCTCATAGCTGCTCTGGCTTACTGTGGCTGAAGTACGGTGGAGGTACGGCACGGCTGATGCGGCATAAGTCCGGCTGTGGTGCGGGCGAGCTCCGGGATCGTGTCAGCTCCAGTAGACCCCAGACCTTGCCAGTACTTTAGCCGGAGCAAATGCCTGAGCTATCCAGAGTAAAACCAGCTACGGCCAAGGCCAAATTTGCTGGCTGGGAATAGGCCGGTTAGGACCCCCAGAGTCCGGCAAGTGGCCCTCCGAGGCCGGTAAGGGGCCCTCAGAGGCTGGCTTGGGCCCTTATGGAGATCTTATTGTTGATACTTGTGGGCCCATGAGGTGTTTTTTACGAGCCCTGTGGGGCCCTTCTGAGTCCAAATATGGTCAACATGGACCCTTATCGGCCAATTGGCGCCGCAGGGCCCCTCAGGCCCGAATAACCCGAGGGGACCCTGAACCTGATGGGGGGGGGGGCACGTGCCTCACGGGCCCACCTGGCTACGCCACTGAGGAAAATCGTAAACCTGTAAATATCCAAATGCGATCACCTTTCATTTTTTTCAGCGATTATTGTGATCGTCTAATTACTGCCAGAGCATCGTAGCTACCGTTGTCTCCGCGCAATGTCCGCCCCTGCGGACCGCAGCGACTGCTGCACCGGTGCTAATCGCCGTCATCGGTTTCTGTCACCTTTTAACAGAGGTGCCGGGGCTGCTGCCATACTGCCGGCAAATATACGACTTTTTTCGGAAAGATGTTTATGTAATAAGGTAGCCAAGTACTAGGGCGAGCGGAATGATTTTCAAGAAGAACGTTCTGCCCTTGGGAAATATTAGTGGAAATCTCGGCATTATCAGTATTCAGTACCTTATGGGGATAACCAACCCTATACGGTTGTGCCCCATGGCAAACCTGCAATCTTTCACCCGGTGCAGGGGTTGAGCACCCCCAACCATTTTTAAAAATCGACACCCCTGGTCGCTAAAGTTATGACCCCATCTCACCACATGAAAGTGGCAGAAATGACAATGATCAGCTGACGCATTTTTCTTGGCCGAAGTCAGAGCGCGCGGCACGACGCACCACCACCGCACCACAAAGTATGAGCAGAAGCCACCTGCGGTAGAGCGCGCAAAGCCAGGGCCCCGGTAACGTGAGGTAGCCGAGTCGGGGCAGCGTGCGCTGACCCAAGCCGGGGCCGCGGCTTTGGGCGCGGTCTACCGCATCCCCGGGCTATCACATGACACCGGGAGGACGCGCGGCCCCGGCTTGGGTCAGCGCACGCTGCCCCGACTCGGCTACCTCACGTTACCGGGGCCCTGGCTTTGGGCGCGGTCTACCGCACTACCTAACAGGCGTGTTCGAAACCGGAGATGATGATGAACGGGTTTATCGAAACTTGATTGGATGAGCCTATCGGCAATAGCGATTTCAGTGTGTGCATTTATTGTTCATAGTGGTGTGAAATGTGGTTGGGGTACGACCGACAACCCGTCGGGGCGAATTTCGCACTGGGGTACTCAAAATTTGAAGAATTTAAGACGTTTCCATGAGTTTTGAAGGTATGGATAAGTTCTAAAAATCCGGTTCTCCTTATCTGGGCCATTAACTCCATACGGTCCAGGAAAGCTGGCACACTACCTATCTCGTATCATCTATCTCTTAGATCTGAATTAGTCCCCTGGAAAGGACTCTGCTTCCTACGACAGGCCCAGTCGGAATATGAACGAATCGAGATTTTCATCTATCGAGATTGGAAAACTTCACGAAACCTCAATCGGCTTACAGCGGGTGACGGAAGCCCACCTGTTCCGGGCGGACACCGCTGGCCTCCTGATGCTCCAGCTCCTCGAACAGAGCGTCCAGCTTGGCCTTGACGTAGGGGAAGGCGCAGAGCCAGACGAGGCTGCGGTACACCTCGCCGGGCAGCAGGCGCAGGCCGGCCCTGCCGTCGCCACTGGACACCGGCGTCCGCTTTATGCCGTAAAAGTTCTCGGCCAGGGAGCCGGCTGCCGGAGCCGGAGGGCGGTCACACCGGGGGAAGGTCGGGTCACACTCGGAGAACGGAGCAGACAGGCGCCACAAGAGACAGATGGCAGACAAAATGCCAATCGATCGACAATTAAATGAGAAAATGAAGAACGATCGGGTTGATTAGCGAGAATTTGAAAATGCCGACATCAGCGAAACGTTCGTGTTTCTATTCGTATCCATACCCAAAGGTATGAGGTAATGACCCAGCCTCTGACTGCATTTCGACTGGGAGGCTACTGGATAGTACCTAATACCTACATTCCATATCATCCATATCATCCATCACCACGCCATTAACAAATATCGGCCACCTGAACATTAGCTCACATTATGCACAATTGCAACGATCAGTTACAGCAGAAATATACGTAATGAAAGCAGTGACCAACGAGAAGGTACTAAGACACAATGACGTACCATATGTGAAGAGGTAATGCCTCTGGAAGAGCGCGTTGACAACCAGGAAAAGTTCGTCAAAGTGGCGCTCCAGCCAGGTTTGTGTAGACGGATACCGAGCTGCAATGATCTGAAATGTTTAACGATTGTCAGACCGGACGCTTACGTATCAAAACAATGTTGCCTGCGACCATAACAAGTCACAAATGTATTTGCAATGTGCATACTGCATAATGCATAGGTTACATGTATCACATGACAAGCGTATGATCACTGATCAGCAGCCAATGCAGGCGAACAAAGTAATCTTAGGCAAACAGAGACGTACCCAAAGTGGTCTACAAAAATTAGGAAGAAATGACAATCGTTATCATTTTAGTTAATTCATTAGCATTACCATTTTGATGAATGTATTAGTCATGAGAGTCGAGACCCTACAAACCGACTGATTGGACTCACCTTACAAGCATGCCTAACCGCTGGATGAAGGGACGAAAAGAGCCCATCTGCGGCCATCAGCTCAAACAGCGAGGGCTTGGAGGAGGCGGTGTCCGTCTGGTGCACGGCCTCCGCCATCACAGCCACAACGGTGAACGGATGGTCTCACAGGCCACACAACTATTTTTCAAAGCAGTCTGTAAACGAAAGCATTTTAGTAAGACACTGGACTAAAACAAGGTCCAAGGCTAGGCTTCAGTGATTCACTTCGCGACTGATTGGGTGGATGAAGGGTCGGTCCACTCGCATGACACAAACTTGGATGAGACCAAACCAGCTGCGGATATTAGTCAGGTTGAACAGAACGGGGAATGCGTCCACGGATTTACGTATCTTTGGCGATTAGGCATGCTTGCACACTGCGCAGCCATTGGTGCTGTGTACGTAACGGTTACAGGACAATTTGCCGAACTGCATTTTGCCGAATGCTTATTCGCCGAATGTCAATATGTCGAATGCATTTTGCCGACGTGTCTTTTTGCCGACGTGTCAAAAGGGCGAAGTGCTAAAAGTCGAAATGCAATTTGCCGACATGCCTTTTTGCCGACGTGCAATAAGTCGAAAATGTCAATTTGCCGAAATGTCAATTTGCCGAAAAGTCAATTAGTCGAAATGTCAATTCGCCGAAATACTAATTTGCCGAAATGCTAATTAGTCTAAATGTAAATTTGCCGAAATGTCAATTTGCCGAAAAGTCAATTAGTCGAAATGTCAATTCGCCGAAATGCTAATTTGCCGAAATGCTAATTAGTCGAAATGTAAATTTGCCGAAGTGTCAATTAGTCGAAATGTCAATTTACCGAAAAGTCAATTAGTCGAAATGTCAATTCCCGAAATGCCAATTAGCCGAAATTAACTTAACCTAGCCTAACCTAACCTAACCTAAACTGACCCGTAAGTATTAACTTTAGGACCGACTCGCTTTTCAAAGGTAAAGAAACCCACTTACATGTCACCAAAGTAAAAGAAAAACATAACCAAACCTTACCTAACCTGACCTACTGATTTTTGCCTACCCGTGGATAAGGAAGAAGATACTCACATGAATAGATTGCAGACAATGATAAGTCAATTATTTTTAGGTTAAGTGGTTGTGTATCAGGCTTCAGGCCTTCGGCCTGAAGCCAGATACACAACAATTTAACGCTCACCGGACCTATTGGTTTTCTACATATCTACCTATTGGCCGGACCTATTGGCCGAGGTGGTAATTGCTGAAAGGCGATTTGCCGAATGTCATTTTGCCGAATGCAGTTCGCCGAATGTCATTTTGCCGATGTGCTTTTTGCCGACGTGTCAAAAAGTCGAAATGCCATTTGTCGACATGCCTTTTTGCCGAAATGCCAATTTGCCGAAATGCTTATTAGTCGTTTCACCCCTGGTGGAGCTGGCGCGTCGCGGAAAAAACGAGCGTGTGCGCCGTTACGAGACGCAGAGATTGATACCCGATTTTAAGGTCCTACGTCAACCGGTGACCTCTGAGGTCAGGTCAAGTGCCTAAGGTACGGTTCAGTTTTTGGCGAATAACTTCGCCACAAAGGGCCGCAGGGCCGCAATTTTGGCAGCATCGTGTTTGCCTGGCTTAGGCGCGTCAAATGATATAATTTTTGTTTGGGTCAGGTCAACTAACCCTCGCTGGCACAGGGGGGGGGGGGGGTTGATGCAACCCCGCTAAGGTTTTTCGCGAATAACTCGCGTAAAAAGCGGCCGATCGCGACGAAACTTTCAGTACCCTCGCATTGATCAATTTTACACCCACCCTGAAAATTTCATGACCCTGACCCCAATGACCTTTGACATGTGACCTCTTTTCTGTGACTATGTTTGGCCGAAACTGTGACTATGTTTGGCCGATGTCGGCTCGCATTAGCCGCGCGTTTGCAAGCTTTTCGTGGTTTTAAACGTTCAAACATGTGATTTGATGCTGCTCCCATGCATTAGGGTGGGTTTCAAGGTCACCTGAAGGTCAGGTCAGGTCATTGACCTTTGGTGACCTCGGGTGACCTCGGTTCACTTTTTCGAGTTTTACATGTTTCTAGGCTAGTTTTTGGAGCTGAATTCAAATTTAGCAACCATTTGAACATTTACGAAGTAGTTTTGGTGCCTTCGTAACATGTTACGAAGCTGTCAGAGGCGGTTGACACGTATTACGAATACCCGTCACAACCCCTACCGGTTGACCTGACCTGACCTGACCCGACCTGGTCTAAATGCTTAATCAAAACTAACACGATATTCGTGATCAGCACCCCGGAAAACCACATATGCAGCCACACTTTACGACTTTCTAACAGGTCCCGATTTTCCCGGTTTTCGGGTCATTGACCTGACCTGGAAGGTCACCCGATGACCTAGGACCTTAAAATTGGGTATCATCGGCTTTCTCTCGTGACGGGCAACACGCTCGTTTTTTCCGCGAAGCTCTAGCTCGATCAGGGGCCAAACGCGAGGGGGGACGTACCAACACCCCCCTTGTGCCGTCGAGGGACTCAAAATGGCCTGTGCCGGCGAGGGTTAAGGGTGTTGACCTCAGGTCACGGTCAGGTCAGCACCCCAGGTCATGAAGCTGGTGGAAAGAGGTCATGTCGCATATCATTCGATTCGGCAGGTCTTCCTGAGTCCATTGATGGCTTTCCCGACTCGCTAGCTCGATTTGATCGGGACCCAGTAAACATGCCGACGTCGGGCCGAGGCTCGGCCCGATGTCGGCCCAACGTCGGTTCAACCTCGGCCCGACATCGGCTGAACGTCGGATATGCCCGCATGTTCCGACGTCCAGCCGAAGTCCAGCCGACGTCGAGCCGACGTCGGGCCGAGGTCGTTTGCCGAGGTTGACGAGATCGTTCGTCGTTGGACCGACGGGGCCGACGTCGGCATGTTTATTGGGACAACGCGCCAAAAATATCAACCGGCGGCGGGATTCGAGCCCCCCAGTCGCCGACTTCGGCATGTTTACGCCAAAAGCATCAGCCGGCGATGGGATTCGAACCCCGTGTCATTTAAACGGGAGGCTAGTGCGCTAACCACTACACCACGCAGCCAGATATCGATTTTAGTTTGTTTTGTTGGGTTATGCCCTTTCGATCTGACAAGACCATTTCAGAGCCGGAAGGATGATAGGATGGAGACATTGGTCTTCTTGGCGAGCACCCTGGTTCCAGTTCATATAGAGTCCCTGGTCCCATTGCTGTTACGTGACACTTATTGGAAAGGGCGACCCCACAATGGATTCATATAGCCACTCTTACACACCTGCACCAACGTTTCCCAAAGTGTCCCTTTGATAAGTGGCACTTTGGCAAAGTGACACTTGCCGACTGGCCTTTCTATATGAACTGGGCCCGGCCCTGGTGAGTTGCCGGGGCTGAGCCTGACCAAAGGATAGGCCGAGCAGCCCCCAAGCACTCACCGCACCCGGCTACGGGCGAGCTCGGCTTACGGGCAATCCCAAATGGGATAAAGTTTCCCGTCCAGTCCGGATCAGGGGGTTGCGGCGTGGAGGAAGATTTGAGTTTCCTGAGGATATTTTGAATACAGAAGCTCTTTATGAAACATGAAACACGTATTTTATATTATTTTAACGGTCAAAACAGCGGCCGATGTCGGTCCGACGTCGCCCCGACGTCGGCCCGACGTCGGCTGGACCTCAGCAATTGATCTCGGTCCGACGTCGGCCCGACGTCGGCTGGACCTCGGCTGGACGTCGGAACATGCGGGCATATCCGACATCCAGCCGACGTCGTGCCGAGGTTGGACCGACGTCGGGCCGACGTCGGCATGCTGATGCCGAGTTGCCGACGTCACCCCGACGTCGGGCCGACGTCGGCATGTTTACTGGGGAGTTATTGACGAAAAACTAATATGACCTTGATGACGTCATAAATGACGTCACGCAAGGTCAACATTGCAAAATTTACGCATCTAACCTTGCAAGGAGTGCGTCAAATCACGATTATGTGTGCTTGAGATTGTTAGAGGTCGTTCCCGGCGCCAGAATAGCAGTTTTCATTTTTCTTCTTGACTTATAATGGTGAGGTCACGAAAATGACCTGACCTCAAATAACCTTTAGGAAAATCTGAGATATACAAGCTGTGAGACTCGTAATGGATATTAGGTCCTGCAAGTTTCCTTTCCCTGTGAAAGCTCCTCTGTCCGTGAGGGCGTTGCGAACTTGCGACATCTGAAGACCGTGCAGAGGTTCACTTATGACGTCATAGGTCGGTGACCTGACCTGACCCGAAAATGCGGTTGGTGTAAAAAGATCTGGCTTGAATCAAAGGTCAGCTATGCCAAGTTTCAGCTCTCTATCGCCAGCGTGTTCCGAGCTATCGCGAAAAAAACCCTATGGGGATGCGGCACCCGCCCCCCCTCGGCCGGCGAGGGTTAACCTAAAAATATTTGACTTACCTTTGCCTGTAATCTCTCCTAAGGCATTGCCTTCGGCACTGCACTGCTTCGCCAGGAGGAATTTGATGTTTACCTATTTCCACATGGTAATGGTGCTTTTAAACTTGCTTGTGCCATGAATAATTATTAGTTATGAAATCAGGAGGTCAAAGGATATCATGTGATTTGCTTCTTACTTGGGGATTGCACCAAAAGTAAATTGATGATCGGTCCTAAGTAAATAAACACCACCTAACCTAACCTAACCTAACCTAGGTTTGCAGATTGACATTTCGGCAAAGTTATATTTCAACTATTTGACATTTCGGCAAACTGCCAATTCGGCAGATTGACATTTCGGCAAATTTAAATTTCGGCAAATTGACATTTCGGCAAATTGCCTTTTCGGCAGATTGACATTTCGGCAAATTGTCATTTCGGCAAATTGACATTTCGGCAAATTGACATTTCGGCAAATTGACATTTCGGCAAATTGACATTTCGACTAATTGACATTTCGACTAATCGACATTTCGGCAAATCGCATTTCGGCAAATTTACATTTCGACTAATAAGCATTTCGGCAAAGTGACATTTCGGCAAAAAGGCATGTCGGCAAATGGCATTTCGACTTTTAGCATTTCGACTTTTTGACACGTCGGCAAAAAGCACATCGGCAAAATGACATTCGGCGAAATGCATTCGGCAAAATGACATTCGGTAAATCGCCTTTCGGCAATTTGTCCGGAC